TTCTGAGGCAGTGTCTCACTCTGTCACCCAGGCTGGAGTGCAACGGAGCGATCTCAGCTCATTGCAACCTCCGCCTGCCCTGTTCAAGCGATTCTTTTGCCTCAGCCTCCCGAGTAGCTAGGACTAAACGCACGAGCCACCCTGCCTGGCTGATTTTTGTATTTTTAGTAGAGACAGGGTCTCACCATATTGGCTAGGCTGGTCTCAAACTCCTGACCTTGTGATCCACCCGCCTTGGCCTCCCAAAATGCTGGGATTACAGGCATGAGCCACTGTGCCCGGCATTTTCTTTTTTCCTTTCTTTAAATAGAGACGGTGTCTTGCTATGTTGCCCAGGCTGGTCTGGAACTCCTGAGCTCAAGCAGTCATCCTGTCTTGGCCTGCCAGAGTTCTGGAATTGCAGGTGTCAGCCACCATGCCTGACCTTTTTTATTTTGCTGTTTACAACCTGCCTTCTGGCCTCTGCTGCTTCTCGTTGGCCGAGGAAAGGCATCAGATGCCTGCCCAGGGGAGAAGAAGAATATGGAGGATCTTCTGGGTTACTGGGATTTCTACCCATAAGGGGTGGAACCCCAGGCGGGAGTTTCAGGAGAGGAGAACCCGGGGATTCTCTGGGTACCAGCACATTCTCTCTTCCCCAGGACCACACGATTTGCCTCATTCCCTGACTACCTGGTCATCCAGATCAAGAAGTTCACCTTCGGCTTAGACTGGGTACCCAAGAAACTGGGTATGGCTGCTGGAATGACGGAGGTTAAGCAGAAAATGCTAGAGAAAGAAGGGGCCTTAACACATGTAAACTGGTGTTTGTCAAAACTTTTCCTCTGAAAGGGGGAAAAATATCACTGTGAATGTTTCAAAATGTATCTAGTGAGAAAGCACTAACTCAAAATATTAAAAGACTTCTTTGATTTTTATAGGTATGATTTATAACCAAAAGTGATTTTCGTAGGTTTTTTATAATTGGTAAGATGTTTTCATTTTGATAATCTTGAAATGATTAATTCTCGTGAGTCTTACAGGTCCCTGACTGTTATGTGAGAACTCGTGATGTACCTTCATTTTCTAGATAAGGAAGCTGAGACTCACAGGAGTATAAAATCATTCTGCCTCACAAGTTCTAAGCCCCCTGCCCTGTCCATAGCTCATCTGTGGTAGACGTAGGACCAGCATCCTGCTCTCCCGACTCCCAGGCTTAGTATTATTGGTCTTATACTGGGACCCCTGAGATTGGTGCTGTGCGTTTAACAGCTCCTCTTTACAGAGCAGTTCTGACATGGGGGCAGGGGATTGAGGTTCCTGAATCGCTTTCCAGGTAGGCCTCCGGGAGCTGCTGAGGTGACCCTTTTCCCACAGATGTGTCCATTGAGATGCCAGAGGAGCTCGACATCTCCCAGTTGAGGGGCACAGGGCTGCAGCCCGGAGAGGAGGAGCTGCCAGACATTGCCCCACCCCTGGTCACTCCGGATGAGCCCAAAGGTAGCCTTGGTTTCTATGGCAACGAAGACGAAGACTCCTTCTGCTCCCCTCACTTCTCCTCTCCGACATGTTAGTGACTCTTCTTCCTGCCTGTCTCTCTCCCGTGCCGATGGGGGCCTCTCTGCCTTGCATCCCCTGCCCCTGTCCTTTGCGTTTCTCCTATCCTCCCTTTCCAAATTCCTCTCCCCTTTTCTGATTGACGTGGGGCCTGACCAGAGCACTCCCGGCCTCCTGGGCGTGAGTGGCAGCAGTACCAGCTAGTGGCCTCTCTGCCCTTATTACGACCCTGGTTTGAGTAGGGTGGGGGTATCATGTTCCAGAAACAGGGCTCATTCTGTGAGAATGGGCAGGGACCCACGTTACAATTGTATGGTCATTTTAGTCTTGGGATAAGGTGCCAATCCATGGGAGAAAAATGCATGGAATGGGTGACTGGAAGAGGGCTGGAGCCTGCCTGTAGGGGGAGGAGGAGCAAACAGTGGTCCAATCAGTCGGTCCCCGTATCCACAATTCCCATCACAGCGCCCATGCTGGATGAATCAGTCATCATCCAGCTGGTGGAGATGGGCTTCCCTATGGACGCCTGCCGCAAAGCTGTCTACTACACGGGCAACAGCGGGGCCGAGGCCGCCATGAACTGGGTCATGTCGCACATGGATGATCCAGGTAGGCCGGGGTGGGGAGCAGGGTGGGGCAGGGCCTCCATCCTCCCCGAAACACATCAACCCCTTCACATCCACAGATTTTGCAAACCCCCTCATCCTGCCTGGCTCTAGCGGGCCAGGCTCCACAAGTGCAGCAGCCGACCCCCCTCCCGAGGACTGTGTGACCACCATTGTCTCCATGGGCTTCTCCCGGGACCAGGCCCTGAAAGCGCTGCGGGCCACGGTATGGGCTGCCCCAGCTAAGGACATGGGGCCAGTGGGGAAGAAGCAGGTGGGAGTGAGGGGCCATCCCTCTTGAGCAAGACTAAAGACAACAGGTGTGGTCTGGCCAAGGCTGGGTACCACTCTTTTTGGCTGTGATGAAGGAGCTGCCTGCTTTCACTGCTGGTTTTCTTGCCCCAGAACTGTTTAGAAAAAGTAACGCTTCCCTCCTCTCCAAGAACAATAGTTTAGAACGGGCTGTGGACTGGATCTTCAGTCACATTGATGACCTGGACGCTGAAGCTGCCATGGACATCTCAGAGGGCCGCTCAGCTGCCGACTCCATCTCTGAGTCTGTGCCAGTGGGACCTAAAGTCCGGGACGGTCCTGGAAGTGAGTGTCCCCGGGAAGCAGGACAGGCCTGGTGGAATCTGGTCAGTCTGCTACTCCACATCCCTCATGCAGGCAGCTCTCCCCTCCTCGGGGGTCAGGGGCTTCTCTCCACCAACATGACATCTGAGGGTGGGGTTCTCTGACGTGGAGACAGGCTCTGGCCCGGGACCTGCCTCACATTCCCTGAAACTCCTGTCGAGTCTGAGCTGTTGGCTGTGTCTCTGGGCCATTACTCAAGCTTTTCTCTCCTGTTTCCTTCCTTGACCCCTCTCTCCTTCCCTAGAGTATCAGCTCTTTGCCTTCATTAGTCACATGGGCACCTCTACCATGTGTGGTCACTACGTCTGCCACATCAAGAAGGAAGGCAGGTGAGTGCTGGCCATGAGCGTTTTGAGTGGAGAATCGTGGTGAGAATGAGCAGGGCCATCTGGAAGTCCTTGGGATAGCTGTGGGAGAAGGTGAAGGGACTGCCTGATGGGGACATAAAGATGCCGGAGAGTGACAGGAGGTCTTGCAGCTGTGATTGGACCAAGGGTTAGATCTGGCCACTGGCTTTTTTTAAGAGATGGGATCTCAGTACGTTCCCTACGCTGGTCTTGAACTCCTGAGCTCAAGTGATCCTCCCGCCTCAGCCTCCCAAAGTGCTAGGATTACAGCTGTGAGCCACTGCGCCCGGCCAGGCCCCCTGCCTTTGTAAATAAAGTTTCACTGGAACATGGCCACACTTGTTTATGTGTTGTCTGTGCCTGTTTTCATGCTGCGGCAGGAAAACTGAGTCATTGTGTCAGAGACCAGAGGGCCTGGAGAACCTCAAATACTATCTGGCCCTTTCCAGAAAAAGTTTACCAACCCCCTGCCTCCCTGGAATGGGTGGGGGGTGGTTGTAAAGGTATTGGAGAATCTGAAGCCATCAAATAGGGGTCATGACCCTTGTGAGATTGTGAAGCTCCCTTGAGGCAGGTGGTGGCTGGGCTGTGGATTTGGGGTACCGGCAGAGATTGTGGAGAGCACTTCCAGGGGCTGTATCTGAGAGACTATGTGATGCCACCCGGAATGCCCAGTTTGTTCATTCTTTCCTGTTTTCTCCATTTCCCCAGATGGGTTATCTACAATGACCAGAAAGTGTGTGCCTCTGAGAAGCCGCCCAAGGACCTGGGCTACATCTACTTCTACCAGAGAGTGGCCAGCTAAGAGCCTGCCTCACCCCTTACCACTGAGGGCAGGGGAAGACCACCTGGCTTGAGGGAGAGGGGCTGAGGGATGGCCTTCAGCCCCCCTGCTCTGTACCCTTTTCCTTTTGTCCCCGGCAGCAGGGAAGAGGCTGGAGGCCGTGGGAGAATGGCCGGGCAGAGCGGAGGGACAGCGATAGACTCTGATAGACTCTGGGGATGGAGCAGGAAGGGGACGGGAGGGGCCGGCCACCTGTCTGTAAGGAGACTTTGTTGCTTCCCCTGCCCTGGAATCCACAGTGCTCTGCTTCTCTGTGTCGCCCTGCCTGGCACCCTGGTGTGGAGGGAGGGGTCTCGTTTGTGTGCGTGGGTGTAGCTTTGTGCATCCTCTCCCAGGGGAGGGAGCACCTGTGCCTCCCCCCACCTTCGTTTGCCCCTGTGTGGTTGGTCCAGGAGGGATGTGAGGGAAATGGGGATCCCCCTGCCTTGCCCTCCTGCCTCAGTCTTTCTCCCACCCTGTCTCTTCCTTGTCCTTCTCTGGAAAATGCCAAAATACACGATGTGAATAAAAGTACAACGGCTAAAATTGTGTCCTGTTTGATACCTTGGGAGAGGCTTCCCTTCTCGAGGTTAGCAAGAGGGCCGGTTAGCAGAGGGGCATTTCAGAAAACTCTCCTAGCTCTGTCGCCCTCTTCCCTATAGGCCGGTCTTCACTTTTCAGTCGTTCTAGAGCTCTGGGGAAATCGGGGTTGGGTGGGGAAGTGGAGTCGAGTGACTAAATGCCGGCACAAAGCCGAAGAAAGATGGGGTGAAGAGCCCTTCCCTCTCCAGCCACACAGGAGCCCGAGTATTTCCCAAGTGTCCCTAGGGGCTAGCCGTCTTCAGTCTGGGTCTCGGTCCCTGCAGTTCCTCAGGCCTTGGCCATCTGGGGCGAGGGTTGGGATACTCCTGGCGGCCTATGCCTCTGTGGACTGCCCCTCCCGCTCTGAACCCTGCATTTGCCCCGCAAGTCTTGACTCAGGTAGACTCCCTGGGTACAAGGTGCTTGCTCAGCAGTTGGGCCTGAGCTGCTCCGACGGGGGAATGGGGTTCTCTATCCCATAGATGGAGAGGGGCCCTCTCTGCCCCAGTGAGCGATTTGGGCTACGGGCCAAGTTGCCACGAGCTAGCTCCGCTGAACCACTTCTGGCCCCGTGGGGGACTCCAGTCGCCAAGCGAGAGCGCACAGGTGTCGCCATGCCCCAAAAGCCCCGCAATCGTGTCAGAGGCGACCGAGCCCCCGACGCCCCTAGAACGTTGCCAACAAGAAGGGGGAACGTCAGAACAGTGGCACGCCGGGCGGCGGCCGGGTGGCGGCAGGAGGGCGGCAGGAGGGCGGGCGGGGGGCAGGGTTCCGGGGAACGGGGCGGGCCATGGCGGAGGACGGCGAGGAGGCGGAGTTCCACTTCGCGGCGCTCTATATAAGCGGGCAGTGGCCGCGGCTGCGCGCTGACACTGACCTTCAGCGCCTCGGTTCCAGCGCCATGGCTCCCTCCAGGAAGTTCTTCGTGGGGGGGAACTGGAAGATGAACGGGAGGAAGCAGAATCTAGGGGAGCTCATCGGCACTCTGAACGCGGCCAAGGTGCCGGCAGACACCGGTAAGCCCCCGCTGGGGAGGGGCCGGGCCGGGGCCAGGACGGGACCGGCAGCGCGCTCTCCCGAGGCCCCGAGTCCGGTGTCTGCGCGGACCTGATGCAGGGCTGGGGGACGAGGGCCGCTGGGGTTCCGGCAGGGGCCCCGCAGCCGCAGCCCTGTCGGTGCGTCGAGGGCTTAGGGCGGAGCACGTGATGCCCCCTTGGACTGTGGGGGAGGAAAGGACGTTTTGGGTCTCTGGGAGGAAGGTGGCCCCGTGGCGCGCACTGGGGCTGTGTCCGCCAGGCGCAGGGATTAGGAGCGGAGACCGAGGCTTTGCGGGCGACCGGGGTACTCTGACCGCAGCCCCTGGGGTGGGGGAGGAGGCTGGGCCGCGTGCGCTTCCCGCTACCTGCCCCACGGCCCCCGGCGCCGTGCGCCGCCGCACGTAGCCCCAGACTCCTCCCTCGCCTTGCCTGCGGCAGAGTCCCAGTATCTAGCTGTTCGGGGCCCGTGAGCCCCCAGCTCTGACCCCTTCCCTTCAGCAGCCTGAGCGACTCCTGCCTTCCACGGAAGGGACCGAGCTGGTGTCAAACAGGCTGAGCGATCTGGGAGTGAGGAGCCATCCTACCGCTTTCCCCAGCCTGGAAACGAGAACGCTCAAGGCCTCTGAGTCAGTTAGCTCTGTCCCACCCACGGGCAAAGGATGCTCTCCTCCATCTTCCCTCCTACCCCCAACGGAAATCAGAGAACCTCGGGCCTGATCCAAAGAGGCATCCCCTTCGTTCATTCCCCAAAGGCCCCAGAGGCCCCCATACAGTCCCCAGGAGTTGGCCCCTTCTCCTTTTGCTACAAATCCTTGCCTTGTAAAGGGGAGGTGAGGATGGGTTATTTTAGAAGGGGGTAGGGTTGGCCCCTAGAGAATGCTGAGTCTGGGAGGTGCCTATGCCCAGAATAGCTCAAGGAAATTGGAGCCACAGCTGTTAAAAGAGCAGAGGGCAGGGTAAGGGCCGTGGCCTCTTAGGGGTACCTGGAAGGCTCTGCCAGTTGAGTGCAGGCCCGGCCTGGGCTGGGAAGTGGACAAAGGTCATCTTGCTGGGGTGAAAAGCAGGGGAGAGTAGAACTAAGAAGAGGGTGAGGGCTGGGGGCCCCAGGACACCGGTTAGGAGTTGTGGCGAATGAAGGCTTTCTTTAGTCTCATCCCACTGTGGTACCATCTTGTCCTCAGAGGTGGTTTGCGCTCCCCCCACGGCCTATATCGACTTCGCCCGGCAGAAGCTAGATCCCAAGATTGCTGTGGCTGCGCAGAACTGCTACAAAGTGTCTAACGGGGCCTTTACTGGGGAGATCAGGTGAGATGGAGGTGGAGAGGGTGTGAAGGGAAAGCCACAGGTGGGCTACCTGCTGAGTCTTGGCTTCCTCTCTTCCTTTAGCCCTGGCATGATCAAAGACTGTGGAGCCACGTGGGTGGTCCTGGGGCACTCAGAGAGAAGGCATGTCTTCGGGGAGTCAGATGAGGTTAGTAACCAAGAGAGGAGATAAGGGATGTATTTTTCCAAGAAGGGTGTCTCACCAAGTCTGTTTTTCAACAGCTGATTGGGCAGAAAGTGGCCCATGCTCTGGCAGAGGGACTCGGAGTAATTGCCTGCATCGGGGAGAAGCTAGATGAACGGGAAGCCGGCATCACTGAGAAGGTTGTTTTCGAGCAGACAAAGGTCATCGCAGGTATCTCTGGAGAAAGGGGCCTTTGAACCTAGCCAGGGCCACAGAGACTCACAGGGTAGGGTCAGGCCCTGGAGCATGTCTTGGTCCCCATGCTGATCCAGAAAAGGAAGAGGCAGGGGGAGGGGGGTTGAGTGAGCATCCTTGCTTGGTGCCCATCACTTCTTCAGCCCTCAAGGTAGATGCCACCTGGAAATCCCCCAATGACCACCAGGGGGCAGCAATAGGCCACCATTCTACATACTCTGGGGAATCTGTCTGGACCGCTCCTTCCTGTCCACCCTTCCCTCCCATCTGTGACCTCTGCCCTGCAGATAACGTGAAGGACTGGAGCAAGGTCGTCCTGGCCTATGAGCCTGTGTGGGCCATCGGCACGGGCAAGACTGCAACACCTCAACAGGTAACTGAGCCCAGGAGCCCTGCCCTCATCCCAGCCTGCCACAGGTTTGGACAGACACAGACCATCTAGGCCAACCCCTTGTTTTAAAGACAGGGAGACCTTGAGCCCGGAGACAGTGACTTGTCCAAGGGCATCCATTCCATGGCCTGGCCTGGATCTGAGCCTTGGTACTCAGACTCAGTCAGAAACCACACTAAGTGTCCACTTAGTGCCACTGATTTTTCCTCTTAGAGTGAGAGGCAGAAAAGGTAAGGCTAGCTTCTTGTTCTAGGCCCAGGAAGTACACGAGAAGCTCCGAGGATGGCTTAAGTCCAACGTCTCTGATGCAGTGGCTCAGAGCACCCGTATCATTTATGGAGGTGAGTGGCTTTGCTTCCTGGCCGAAGTGGAGTGGGCTGAGGGCTAGACGGAGCCCTGGGACATGGAGGTGGAGATGGGGCATACTCATCCCATCCTTGACCAAGCCCTTGTTCTGCTCCCTTCCCAGGCTCTGTGACCGGGGCAACCTGCAAGGAGCTGGCCAGCCAGCCTGATGTGGATGGCTTCCTCGTGGGTGGTGCTTCCCTCAAGCCCGAATTTGTGGACATCATCAATGCCAAACAATGAGGCCCATCCATCTTCCCTATCTTTCCTGCCAAGCCAGGGACTAAGCAGCCCAGAAGCCCAGTAACTGCCCCTCCCTGCACATGCTTCTGATGGTGTCATCCGCGCCCTCTTGTGGCCTCATCCAAACTGTACCTTCCTTTACCGTTTATATCTTCACCCTGTAATGGTTGGGACCAGGCCAATCCCTTCTTCACTTACGATAATGGTTGGAACTAAACATCACCAAGGTGGCTTCTCCTTGGCTGAGAAGTGGAAGGGGTGAAATTTACTAGTGGGTCCCCTAAGCCCTAATGAGGGTGGGAGAGAAACCACCCTCACCGTGAGGCCAAGATCCTCCCCTCAGAAACCAGGAGTGCCGCCCTCTCCCACGGTGCCCGTGCCTGTGTGTGTGTGTGTGAACCACCCACGTGTGAGGGAATAAACACCTGGCACCAGGTCTTGTGGTCTGTCCGCCTTCATTGGACTTGCCCATAAAATCTTCCTTTTGGAGGCAGCTATAGAAATTATCCCTTGTGCACAAAAACAAAACCATAAACAAGTTGTTGTAACACCTCTTAGTATTTTTACTTCAAAAACTGTTTTGCGTAGCAGACTGCCATAGCCTTGAATGCTGGCTCGCTCTCTTCCTCCCTCTGAGTGGCTCTGGGGCTGTTGATTTCCCCAGAGCTTGGGTCGGGGTAGGGGCCCAGCCTCACTGGCTTTCAGTAGCTGGTCTAGGCCAACAGTGCCTCCCCACCTCCTCAAGGGCAGGGGTGGTGGCAAGGCCCCAGCACAGTCTGCAGTATCACAGGGCTCACTGGTAGAGCAGGTAGCGCTTCATGGCAGGGGGCAAGGGCAGGGCAGATACCTGGCCAAGCCGGGTATCCCCCAGGGTGTGGCGCACACACAGGCGGCTCAGATGCAGAAGGGAGTGTGGCTCCGCTGGGAGAGAGAAGGAGGGGAAGGTGAGTATGGGTGCAGCCACCAGCCAGACATCCTCAAACTACAGGGTCCTGCCCAGATGCCTTTCTGCTTTCCTGCTTCGAGTGTGCCCGCCTTAGCTGAAAGGGAGATGTGAGATGCCCCAAAGTGCTGCCCCTCAGTGAAGATTTCACACGCCCCTAGTCAGAGCTGGGGGTTAAGTGCTGGCTAAGGCCCTCTAAGTGAGAGGCCAAGGTAGCTTATTTGGTGGTGGAGCTGGCCCAGGCTTTGACTCCAGAGGCTCGGGAGCTGGGGCTGAGGTGTGGAAGGATGGTCCTCCACTCTACAGCTCACACACCTTCAGAGAGCAGCTCCAAGCCCTGGACCCAGTCAGTTCCTGGGGAGGCTCCTCCCCTGCCGCCCCACCCTAAGGCCCTGCCTCCTCCCTGGTGCCCAGGGCCCCAGTGGCTCCATCCTGAGGTCTGGCTGAGGAAGGAAGTAGGTATGTGGCACAGAGGTCAGAGCCCAGGGAATCCCGTATACACCCCGGGCGTCTGGCTCTGCCCGTCGTCCTCCTTTTGGACCTGTACGCCAAACCCAGTACCTAACCCGGTGCACCTCTTGCTCAGGGGTTGGGCTGAACGCCCTCAGCCCTGGCGTGCCTCACTCCATTCTGAAGGTTCACCACTTACTGGCCAAGAGAACCTAAGAAAGTTGCTTTCTCAGGCCTGTTTCACCTCTATTGGTATTGGATTAAATTAAATAACAGCTGTGAAGACCCCTAGCCTTTCCCAGCACTGAACAGAGAAAAGAGGCAGGTTGGATGAAGGTCCATGCCCTCTGCTCTTGTCAAGAGTTTACATCCCACACCGCTGCCACCAGGGACACAAAGTTCTCCGCACACCTGCCCAATGCCTCACCTCTCCTTTCGCCCAGGTAGCGGATGCGGACCTGGCACTGGCCCCAGACAGCACTTACTGCCGGATAGAGGGTCCTGCCCTTCAGTCCACGGAAGGCTGGCCCCAGGTAGGTGCCCCCAATAGCGTAGCCCAGGGTTCCCTCCTCCATGTCCAGAACCACCAGCAGCCTCTCTGGCACCTCCGGCTGCTCACCCTGAGTTCCCGCTGGATACTGGGGGGCCCCGGGCCCCTTGCTCTGATGGTACAGCTTCCCCCGGCCGATGTCCCAGCCCCACGACTCGCTGTTGCTGCCCAGCAGCGCCGCGTAGTGGTCAGCCTGCAGCGGGGCGAGGGCCGTGGCCACGCCCACCACGGCGTGCGAGCCCCTCTGCTCTGGGGGCCAGCTGATCTCCCAGGCGTGCAGGCCCCTCGAGTAGCCCCTCTTACCCCGGGCCCCATCAGTGCTCTGGGCCACGGGCCGCCGCTCAAAGTACAACCCCCTTTCCTTGACCTCGATGTTCTCTGAACAGTCTTTGGGGTTCCAACCGTGGCGCCGTTGGGTCCCCAGGTCAGGAGGGGGTGCAGACAGCAGCTCTTCCAAGCCCTCGGGACAGGAGAGGTCAGAGTACAGGGCCTGTGGGGTGGGGGTGCTGCTGCTGCCCCCCGCCAGGGCCGTCTGGCCCATGGAAGTGAGGAGTTGGAGAACTCCCCGAAAGAGGCTTGCTGGGGCGTCTCCTGAAAGTTGAGCTTCAGTGTGGAATTGACCTGGAAGGGAGTTGGGGTAGAAGGGGCGTGAAGAGCAGAATCCTGGCGGGGGCTCGTTACCCAGGCACCCCATCCTTTCACCTCCCTCCTCGCTGCCCCAAAGCTCCTGGACCCATCGTCTGCCCTCGCCCCATCTGTCCCAGATCGCCCGAGACTCTCGCGAGTTTCCCCACTTAGGGCCTCCGCATGGACCATCCCCCTTTCCCGCCCTGAGCCCTCGCCGCTGCCCCCGAACCTCCGTTGGCTTCCCAGCCCTGGAAGTTGCCGGGCCTCTGCAGGAGCCGGGCGGAAAGAAGCCGAAGCGCGCCGGGCGCAGACCGCAGCCGCTTCCGCCTCCAGCACCTCCCCAGGGCCGCGCCCGCCCTGCGGCCCCGCCCCTCCAGGGCCTCCGGGACGTTAACCCTCTCCTCGCCGTCCCGGGCCGCGCAGCCCCGAGGCCACGCCCCTGCGGAGCTCCGCAGTTACCCCTTTCCTCGGCCGAAGCCGCGGAGAGCGCGCCCCGCCCCCGTGGAGCCCACCCTTGGCGGTTAACCTTCGATCTCCGCCCCGGGCTGCGACCCTGCCCGAGGCCCCTCCCCAACGGCGAAGTCCGGGGGCGGTTAACTCTTTCTCGCTGCGGTGGGGTCCGCACCTGGGCAGGCTCAGTTCAGAATCAACGCTTTGATGGCATCACCGCCTCGGGAATCCCTGGGGATGGTGTTCTCCACCGTCAAGACCTTTGAGCCGCCTGTGCAACCAACTCCTGCGCCCCTGAGGAGAAGGAGCATGGGGTCAAGGAGGGGCTCCATCGTGCTGACTCCCATTTCCATTTCCCTGTGATTCTGGGTCACTGTTTCTGGGTTGGTCCCTTTCTGCTCGGGTTGTGAGTCAGCCTGTGCCACCTCGGTGGCTCTGGGCTGTACGCGTCATAGTTCTCCCTGCTGGTCCAGTCTTCACACTGGATGCCAATCCATTACTGAGCCGATGATCTCATTTGGTAGAATGCCTGGTTAAGACGTCAGGTTTTTTTTTTTTTGTTTTTTTTTTTTTGGGACGGAGTTTCGCTCTTGTTACCCAGGCTGGAGTGCAATGGCGCAATCTCGGCTCACCGCAACCTCCGCCTCCTGGGTTCAGGCAATTCTCCTGCCTCAGCCTCCCGAGTAGCCGGGACTACAGGCACGCACCACCATGCCCAGCTAATTTTTTGTATTTTTGGTAGAGACGGGGTTTCACCGTGTTGACCAGGATGGTCTCGATCTCTTGACCTCGTGATCCACCCACCTCGGCCTCCCAAAGTGCTGGGATTACAGGCGTGAGCCACCGCGCCCGGCAAGACTTCAGGTTTGGGTGAAGCTATGCCACTATTTAGCTGTGTGATCTTGGGGAACTTGTCACATTACTGTTTTGTTTTGAGACAGGGTATTGCTCTGTCACCCAGGCTGGAGGTCAATGGCGCCATCACAGCCCACTGCAGCCTTGACCTCCTGGGCTAGATCCTCCTACCTCAGCCTCCCAAGTAGCTGGGACTACAGGCATTTGCTACCACGCCCAGCTAATTAAAAATATTTTTTTAAGAGACGATGTAACAGCCGGGTACATAGTATGCACTCACCAAGCATTGCTGTCAGTGTGCTTACCGAGTGCGGACACTATAAGGAGGCAATGGCCAAGGATGCAGCTGTGGAAGCAGACTGCCCGGGCATGAGTAGCTGAAGGCCAGTGTGTGTACGACCTTGGGCAAATCACTGAACCTCCCCGTGCCTGTTTCTAAGACAGAGATCACATTAGTGTCTATTGCATGGGGTTGGTAGTGAGGATCCAATGAGGTTATCGTTTTAACACGTTTGGAACAGTTTCTGGTTCGCATTTAATGATTTGTGCTAAGCACTGGAGATGAGGCAGTGAATCCTTAAGGAGGTTACAAAGACTTTTATAAAACAATGTATCATGTGGTAATAGTAAATGATATTATGGAGATAAAAAGAATAAAAGGAATAGGACTCCTATCCAGGGTTCAAGCAGCTAGGAAAGGAACAATCTTAGAGGATGACTGGGAATTGGGCTGAGACGGGCCACTTCTCTGCAGTATGGAGGTTGGGTTATGACTGTTGCATGTAGAAGACATTCTAGACAGAGAGTCTGCAGGAAAAAAACCAAGAAGCAGCAGGTGGGTTTGGGGAAGTACGATAGCTTCACGATTGCTACAGCCAGGAAGGAAGCATGAAAGGGACCAGAGAAGTAGACACGAAGTCACAGAGGCCTTCGAGGCTGAGTTAAGGAATGTAAATATTTTCCCACAAGACAGGCCAGTGATGGGGAGCCACTGTAGGATAGAAGCGGGAGAGGAACCTGGTCAGATGTGCATTTGATTTATTTTCATATTTTGAGCCAGGGTCTCACTTTATCACCCAGGCTGTAGTGGAGTAGTGTGATCATGATTCACGGCAGCCACAACCTCCTGAGCTCCAGCCATCCTCCCACCTCAGCCTCCTGAGTAGCTGGGACTACAGGTGCACACCACCATGCCGAACTAATTTATTTTTATTTAAAAATTTTTAAAATTATCTTTTAATTTTAAAAATAGAGACAGAGTCTCAGTCTCATTCTGTCTCATTCGTACTCCTGGGTCAAGCGATCCTCCTGCCTCAGTGTCCCAAAGTGCTGGGATTACAGGTGTGAGCCACTGTGCCTGGCCAGATCTGCATTTTGGAAAACCACTCTGACAGCAATGTAGAGGAGGCTTCAAGGGAAATAGGACTGGAAGCAAAGACCATTTCTAGCAGCCCAGGTGACAAGTGTCAAGAGCCTGAAATAGGACAGTAGAAATAAGAATGAAAAGAATTCAAGAGACACTGATGAAATGGCAAGATCTGGTGGCTGATTAGAAGTGGAGTTAAGGCTAGGCACGGTGGCTCACGCCTGTAATCCCAGCACTTTGGGAGGCTGAGGCAGGCGGATCACCGGAGATCAGGAGTTCAAAACCAGCCTGGCCAACATGGTGAAACCCCGTCTCTACTAAAAATACAAAAATTAGCCAGGTGTAATGGTGGGCACCTGTAATCCCAGCTACTTGAGAGGGTGAAGCAGGAGAATTGCTTGAACGCGGGAGGTGGAGATTGCAATGAGCCAAGATGGCGCTACTGCACTCCAGCCAGGGCGACAGAACGACACTCTATCTCAAAAAAATAAAAAAGGGAAGTTTCTAGCCTGGAAAAAATGGATTGGATGATGGTGCCACCAATCAAGATGGAGATGACACAGTAACTGGGGCAGGGGCAGGAGGGTGGGAGAGAGAGATGGTGAGTTCAGTTTAGGATGTGTTTTTGAGGTGTCTGAGCCACAAGCAAATAGAACCATCCAGAACACACTAGAAAATGGCAGGTCTGGAAGCAGAATGAGAGGCCTGGGCTGGAGACAGGGATTTGGGAGGGGTGTCAGCCTTTAGTCAGGAGTTGAACTATGAGAATGAGTGAGTGAAATATGGGTGAGGGGACAGAGAGAGAGTGCAGAGCAAGAGGAGGATCAAAGAGAGCACAACAATGTAGAAAATACAGTTTTCATTTCTTACAAGATTGTTTTGGTCAAAGGTTACTGGCAACCTTAGTGAGATAGCACATGTGGGGACTGGGAGGTGGGACTCCAGGCTGAAAGGGCTGGACTGCCACTGCGCTACAAGCTTCATGTTTTGAAGGAATAGAAAATGAAAAGTAAATTACAATTATGTCACATAAAGTTACCTGAGAAAATCCCTTAGTAGGCTGGGTGCAGTGGCTTATTCCTGTAATCCTACCACTTTCAGAGGCTGAAGCAGGAGCTTGAGTCCAGGAGTTTGAGACCAGCCTGGGCAACATAGTGAGACCCCATCTCTACCAAAAGAAATAAACAAATAAATAAAAATAATAAAATAGGCCCCGCGCAGTGGCTCACTCCTATAATCTCAGCACCTTGGGAGGCTGAGGTGGGCAGATTGCTTAAGGTTGGGAGTTTGAGACCAGCCTCAGCATGGTGAAACCCTGTCTCTACTAAAAAAATACAAAAATTAGCCGGGTGTGGTGGCAGGCACCTGTAATCCCAGCTACTCAGGAAGCTGAGGCAGAAGAACTGCTTGAACCCAGGAGGCGGGGAGTGCAGTGAGCCGAGATTTGCTTCACAGGTTTTTTTGAATCTTGATTGCACATACAGATTTTTTTAGTTTCTTTTTTTTTTTTTTTTTTTGCCACTTTGGAGATAGACTTGTATGCTAGCGTGGAAGGGAATTGCTTTTTTCGGTTGATTGCCTAACAACCTGCTTGATGGCCTTTCAGATGGATCATGTTATACAGAAAGGAAGTATCTGAAAACACTACTATCTTGGCTGGGCGCCGTGTCTCATGCCTGTAATCCCACCACTTTGGGAAGCCGAGGTGCATGAATCACGAGGTCAGGAGTTCAAGACCAGCCTGGCCAAGATGGTGAAACCCCGTCTCTACTAAAAATACAAAAAAATTAGCCACGTGTGGTGGCAGTCACCTGTAATCCCAGCTACAGCTACTTGGGAGGCTGAGGCAGAGAATCGTTTGAACCCGGGAGGCAGAGGTTGCAGTGAGCCGAGATAGTGCCATTACACTCCAGCCTGGGCGAAGAGCAAGACTCCGTCTCAAAAACAGCAACAAAAAAACACTACAATCTAGTTTAAGACACAAAACAGTAGAATCGTTGTCAGCTTTACAAGATATACACTGAAGGGCCCAGAACTGGGGCCAAGAGAACATAGTCTTCCATCTCCCACTCACACGGAATGGGGCCTGGCCCCACTCTGCCCTATTTAATCTGAGCATTGTTAAATGAGTCTGCAATGAAACGCCACATTTCCTTCAATCCTCACAACAAAGATAACTCAATTTTAAGATTCTTTTTTTTTTTTTTTTTTGAGACGGAGTTTTGCTCTTGTTACCCGGGCTGGAGTGCAATGGCGCGATCTCGGCTCACCGCAACCTCCGCCTCCTGGGTTCAGGCAATTCTCCTGCCTCAGCCTCCTGAGTAGCTGGGATTACAGGCACGCGCCACCAGGCCCAGCTGATTTTTTGTATTTTTAGTAGAGACGGGGTTTCACCATGTTGACGAGGATGGTCTCGATCTCTTGACTTCGTGATCCACCCGCCTCGGCCTCCCACAGTGCTGGGATTACAGGGGTGAGCCACCTAATTTTAAGATTCTTAAACTGAGGCTTAGAGAAGTTAAACGCCTTGTCCAAGACCACGGAACGGGAAAATGGCAACGTCAAGATCCAACTCCGAAAAGCCTCCCCTGGCAGTGGGAGGAAATGGCAAATGACGCAGCCGAACTTATTTTTTCTTTCTGAGACGGAGTCTTGCTGTGTCCCCAGGCTGG